TGTGAGCGGGCCCGGCCGTGATGGTGTGTGAGCTGGCCCGGCCGTTGTGATGTGTGAGCGGGCCTGGCCGTGATGGTGTGTGAGCGGGCCTGGCCGTGGTGGTGCGTGAGCGGGCCCGGCCGTGATGGTGTGTGAGCGGGCCCGGCCGTGGTGGTGTGTGAGCGGGCCCGGCCGTGGTGGTGTGTGAGCGGGCCTGGCCGTGGTGGTGCGTGAGCGGACCTGGCCGTGATGGTGTGTGAGCGGGCCCGGCCGTGGTGGTGCGTGAGCGGGCCCGGCCGTGATGGTGTGTGAGCGGGCCCGGCCGTGGTGGTGTGTGAGCGGGCCCGGCCGTGGTGGTGCGTGAGCGGGTCCGGCCGTGGTGGTGCGTGAGCGGGCCCGGCCGTGGTGGTGTGTGAGCGGGCCTGGCCGTGGTGGTGCGTGAGCGGGCCCGGCCGTGATGGTGTGTGAGCGGGCCCGGCCGTGGTGGTGAGTGAGCGGGCCCGGCCGTGGTGGTGCGTGAGCGGGTCCGGCCGTGGTGGTGCGTGAGCGGGCCCGGCCGTGATGGTGTGTGAGCGGGCCCGGCCGTGGTGGTGTGTGAGCGGGCCCGGCCGTGGTGGTGCGTGAGCGGGTCCGGCCGTGGTGGTGCGTGAGCGGGCCCGGCCGTGATGGTGTGTGAGCGGGCCCGGCCGTGGTGGTGTGTGAGCGGGCCCGGCCGTGGTGGTGCGTGAGCGGGCCCGGCCGTGGTGGTGCGTGAGCGGGCCCGGCCGTGATGGTGTGTGAGCGGGCCCGGCCGTGGTGGTGTGTGAGCGGGCCCGGCCGTGGTGGTGTGTGAGCGGACCTGGCCGTGGTGGTGTGTGAGCGGGTCCGGCCGTGGTGGTGCGTGAGCGGGCCCGGCCGTGGTGGTGTGTGAGCGGGCCTGGCCGTGGTGGTGTGTGAGCGGCCGTGGTGGAGTGTGAGCGGGTCCGGCCGTGGTGTGTGAGCGGGCCTGGCCGTGGTGGTGTATGAGCGGTTCCGGAGCGAGCGGGCCCGGCCGTGGTGG